GCTTCCATCTCGATCAAATAGGTTTCATCCCTGGCAGACTGATTCTAGACAATGTAATGACCCTTACCGGAACTACTAGAATATTAAATCAAAAGAAAGTCACGGCAACAATCCTCTTCTTCGACTTTGAGAAAGCCTACGATCAAGTAAATTGGGACTTCCTTCAATCCTGCATGGAAAAAATGGGAGTGGGACCAGTCTTCAGGAAATGGGTAAGACTACTATACAACGACGCTCAGGGCATAGTCCAAATCAACGGCTTCCTGTCTAACCCCTATAGAATGTCAAGATCGGTCAGGCAAGGAGACCCCCTAGCAGCACCCATCTTCCTATTTGTCATGGAAGCCATCGCTGCTTTCCTGAGAAAAGACCCCTCCATAGAGAGATTAGTAAATGTCAAAGACGAAAGAGGAAAAATGCTCCACTTACCTACCACCCTCCTTTTCATTGACGACCTTACAGTCCTTATTAGAGCATCCAATTCATAATTTCAAGCCCTAACAAAAGCTATGCAAGCATTCCAACTGGCCTCCTAAACGAAAGTGAACTGGAAAAAAACAATAGGTTGGTGGCTAGCTGACTCCCCACCACCAATTGAACTCACACCCCAAGGAATGCTCTGGGCGGACCTGTCTGCTCCCTTCCGTTTCCTAGGGATAAACCTCAACACGAAAGGCTGTCACAATGCATCAGCAGCGTCCCTATTATCTTCCATGATTAACAGAATGCACACATGGAAAGGAACCCACATATCACTACTAGGAAAAGTAGTAGCACTAAGCAACTCAATTCGAGCCATGATGTGGTATAACACCTCTATCTGGTTCCCATCTGATGACTTCCAAAGCCAAATTAGGAAAAGGGCAACAACCTTTCTATGGACAAGCAATCCAGACAACGACCACTTCATCCACAAAGTAGCATGGCAAACGATCACCGAACCCAAAACCAAGGGTGGCCTTGGTCTCATAGACCCATCCCGTCAAATCCAGGCCCTCCAAATCAAATGGATCCTTAGAATATCCCTCCAAGATAACCTTCAGTGGACACCCCTAGCCCTAAACCACATCAGGGAAATAGCCCCTTTCAAATCTCCAAAGAACATGTCAGGTCTCTTCTGGATCTTCAACAAACATTGGGCACTCCCAATAGGCAAAAGAAAGCACACCCCCATTCCATTGCAGGTAGATAACCATGATCCGGACCCTTCAAAATCTCGCTGGATACAGATCCTACGCTGCTGGAGAAACATATTCCCAGAAAACAGATCGGGCCTCAAAAGAAGAGACGAAGTCTTAAGACAACCCCTCTTTGGAAACTCCTGGATCAAAAACGAGAAAGGAACAAGCTTCTCACTCTCCAAATCAGAGGCCAAATGGGGACAGTGGGTAGAAAGAGGAGTATGGCAGATCCAACATATCTGGAACGAGGCAACAAAAGAATGGAAATCCGAGAAGGAACTTAGGTCAACCCTGAAGGGTCTACATCAGCTGCACACGAACATTAACCAGATTATAGATAGCATCCCCATGCAATGGAGACGCCTACTACGTTTGGAACAGAGATGGCAATACGGTGATTGGGCCGCAATAAAAGATCCGGGAGAAGTTCTCAGATTCAAAAACTATGAAAACCAGAATAACAACTGGATCTGCTGCGACATTTTTCCTGTCAAGGAACCAGGGAACCCAATAAGTTACCTTAACGAAGAAAGCAGAGCAAAAGGCACCTTCAAAACAAGCACCCTGCGAAGAGTAAGAGTTATAGAAGGGGAAAGAAACAAGGTTTTTAAACCACAGTCAAGTATACAAGAACTAGAAATGGATCCGACAGAATGGATCTGGAACACCCCCATCCGAGGAGCCACTATCTCACGGCTCCACAAAATAACTGACTATACCCCCAGACTAGGTTACAATCTTCTCTCCAAACCCAACTCAATAACCAATATCCTGCAAAAAAGATGGACAAAAGAAGAACCCACAATAACAGTCCCACAAATAAACATACCATGGTCATCAAATTTCTGCGCTAAACCGGTCAGACTAGCCAGTCTACTTTGGTTAATCGCGTACAGGGCAGTGCCAGTCAACCACTGGTTGGCACAAAGGCGTAATAAGGCAAACCGAACAGAGCAAGATTCATTGTTACATCTTCGACGCCACACGGGTCCTACCGGACCCGACTTAGGGCTAGAGGGACACATCAGGGCCTAAAGGCCCGACCTTGGGGGATAACAGGCCGAAAGGCCACGACTTGGACCCGACTACGGACCAGGCCCAAATGACATTTCGTCTTTGGGCCTGACGGCGCCATTTGAGGCTGCCRCTCTCCGGTTGGACCTGAATCGTCGATCTGGACGGTTCAGCCCCAACCAAGGCCTCGCAGCAGTGAGGCCGGTCCTCTTCGAACCAGTACTTAGTACTGGTCCGGCCTCACTTCGAGGCATCGACCCACCGGTATGCGATATGGTGCGGTAAGGTCGGCACCAGAGTGCCGTTGGAGCGCTATGTTTAGCGCAGGAGCGAGGAGCAGGCAGCGCAGCGTTAGCGCAGCAGCAGGGAGCGGAGCAGCAGCAGCRGCGACTGGGTTACCGGCGGCCATAGCCGCCTGAGGTACCGGGAGTCGGAGGCTTCTCTCCTCCCTCCCCTCGCCAGTCCCCTCTCTCTCCCTCTCCTCGGCTCTCTTCTTCTTCTTCTTCTTCTTCTTCTTCTTCTTCTTCTTCTTCTTCTTCTTCTTCTTCTTCTTCAGATGGAAGACTTATGCTAGTTGGACAGAGATCAGAGTTGGACTTCGGTGATATGAGACTGTGGTACTTACCGGATTGGAGACTTGRAGATCGTTGGGGTTGATACTTGGCGACATCACMGTTCKGACACCGGTTACATTTGGACTCTGTATCTCCGACATTGGTGACCTATGGTCCTCGACATTTTGATCTTGTGGGACGACATTTTGGACTACCATATCGGTGACCTATCAGATTTCTATCCCGGTGACTTTCAGTGYTGTCTACYCGCCCCACCTCCTYCGTCTCTCCTCCCCCAWTCATCTGTGTATGTTGTGTACGGGGCTGAGCATCCTCTCTGTATGGCTCAGACCCCACCATCTCACGATTGTATGTGTGTGGAGTGATGCTATGTGAGTCAGTCTATGTGAGTCAGTCCGTTTATCAGACTTCCGTTGCATCTATACTCATCCTACATTGGTTGATTCTTGGTTCTGCCCATACTCATTGGAGTATGCAACATTCATGGTGCAAAGTCTGCAACCAACAGAGACCGGAAACACTTAACCACTGCTTCATCGATTGTCCAAAGGCCATAATCATATGGCAAGAAATGGAAAACATATGGAAATCCTTCTCTGACAAGTCCATCACGATAAGTCCTGCCATTATCTTCCTCGACACAGAGCAGAACCCGCCCCTCAAAGGTTTCGAGGCCTTCTTCTTCATACTTATCAGGAAGGGAATCATCTGGGGCCTATGGAAAAAGAAGGTGTGAACTAACCTTTGGCGATAGTCCTACCACACCCGAGAACCCACTCAACACAATAGAACATACGATAGAAACATAGTTGCATATTCTCTGGACCAAAACACTAAATCAAATAAACAGCACCCCCGATTAAAAAACCGCACTTATTCTCAAATTCTCAACGTCAAAACTAGGATCAGGCCTCTTAGGAGAAATAAAAAATGACCATTTAGCCCTCAAGAACTGGCTAACACTACCACCAGCGCAGATCACGTCTCCACCTCACCCCCCTCTAACAATACATCCCCTATCATAGTCAAACCTATGCACTCATCCCAACTCCTTCACTACACATCACGCTGTATAACCCGGTTCCTCCCCACCCACAGTCCCCACACCATCTCTCACTCAACCTCACTCCCCCGGAAAAATAACCACTAAAAGGCCCAGACAGCCTTATAGGCCTTCCAGCACCCGCCACCCCTCCATCTTCCACCTCACTCAAAATCTATACCACCTCCAGTCGACTGTCCCGCCCCGATTACGCTCCTCATCTCTCCCAACATCCTTCCCCCGACAGCTTACCCCCCTCCACAAATAGTTAAAGGATGAGGGTTTAGGGTTTAGCGTTGGTAGGATAAGCAACTTGTTAAAAGTAGAAGCCCAAAACACAGTCTAAGGCGAGCACTACAGAAGGTAGAAAGGCAAAACTAGGGTCTTAGAAAATAGCGCAGAAGAAAGCTGAACTAGCTCTACCAGCAATACACACAGATCCGACAGCCATACAGCTGAGAGGAAAAGCTACAGTCAGCCCATATACTCTGTCCCTCAGCAAACCCAAGACAGGTCCATAAATCTGCGAGGTCCTCCAAGTCCAAGAGTACGTCAACCAGGCTAACTTAGGCAGGGGTGAAGGGTGGTACATCCTTCCTTGGGAAGTAATCAATGCCGCCTTTTGGGCCTTCCTACCGTAAGGGGGAGGAGCCTGTGCGAGTACCCATTGTAATCATTTCTGACTTGCCGGTGGAATAGGAACGGACTGATGCTCCCCAGAATGGAAAAGGAGCCAGAACCGTAAGGTTCTGT